CAACAGCTGTTAATTAACAGCAACTTTCCTTAAAAAGTTGTGCACCCCTGCTGAAACCACTGATGCTGCTATAATGAGACATACACACAGAGTTGGGTTTACTCTCTCCTGCACTATCTGAAATGCACACAGTGAAAAATTAAGACTGTATTTCTGGTTCTTACAAAACCTGGGTTCGATTCACAGCACTGAATGATTTCTTGAGTGTCCTTTTACCATTAGGGCTCGGCCCACAAAGGAAGAAAAGTTTCCTGTGACAACAAACACAACACAGATGTTCAGCCCTTGGCACTAAAGGCAAGGCTGACAACTGCCCTAGAGATTCATAACACTGCAGAAGAATTTAACTCTAGCTTAATGGCTAGACAGTGTAATAGGATTCTGGCTTGCAGCCCTTCACACAAACAGCATTAAAAAAAAAAAAAAATCGGTAATCAAAAGCCCAATGTACTCTGGGTCAAGGCCCAAAATTTAGACAAGTGCCATAATCCCCAGTGAGAATGGTGTTCCCTCTCTGGCCCAGTAAAAACTCAATTAATTCACACCAAGTCAGAACTGCTTCAACAGTAGAGCTTCTTTCTTTTCTCTAGAACTAAACAGGTAGATCACTTTTTCGGGTAATGTGACCTTCTTTGAATCTTTACAGGCAGAGAAGGGAACTGAAACTGTGTCTCCCACACTTTAGTATTCTAACCAATAAATTATTTTCTGAAGATAGTAAAAAGGAAGAAAAAAAAAACCCTCACCACCTATTCCTAAACTGTGATATACATATCCCATATTACTTCATGTTCATGAGATTTTATAAAGGTAGAAACAGTTCTTCATGTAGGGAAAAACAAAATTAATACAAAATGGGAAAAAGATATGTACGTTTTAAGATTTAAATAGCAAAAAAAGAAACTTTTGTCATAATACTAGGTCAGAGAAACCTATCTTCCTATGTAGCTGTAAAGCACCAATCCCACTATCACCTGAAAGACACTATCACCATTTCAGAAGCCAAAACCTGAGCAAAGGGAAATCTGGTTCGTTTCCACTTACTGGATGTTCCTCCAAGTAGCAAGTGCAACGGACTACAAGCTTTTAAAGCAACTTCATTCCTGTCCAGTAAAAACTGGATGGAAGACAGTCAAAATTCAGTTATTTCTTGTCTGAGGGCTTTCTGCATAAATATTTTTTAAGGCATCTTACTAGTGATGCTCAATCCCACTCCATCTCCCCAGAAAGTACTACAGAAGACATTCAGTGAGCATTTATAGCTAAATCTTCAATCTATACAGGTATTTACAAAGGTATACTGAACTTTTAACACATCATTGTGTTGGTTCAGTAGTATTGCTTTCTATCTGCCCTTCTTAGTGGCGTCTTTTGGGGATTTTTTAAAGTTTTTTATGAATATAGAGATACCCACAGCACAGAAGACAAGGTATGCACTTAGAACAAGTGGTAGTGAGGTCTGCAGTTACTCCTTTCTTTCCTGAATAAGTTCAGTACAGTTTCAGAACAATCATCAAGCAAGTCCTGTCCAGCAGCAGTCTTCTTCCCCAACAGGTGTCTATAACAACTGCAAAGTTGCTGAGAAATGCCTGTGATAGGGCATTAGCTCTGTTGATCACCCAATGCTTTCAAGAATTTAGACCCACACTAACATATAGATGCTTCAAAAGCCATTTAAATAGGATTTATGTGCTTTAACATGCTTTAATTTCCACTAAGGATCTTAAAGTCATATATCAAAAGAATATGGACATAATAATATGAAAATATGTATATACTGAAATGGGATCCCATGTCAAGATTTTAGGAGCAATAAACTCAAACATAAATCCCAGATATTAAAAATCCACATCATGTGAGGAAAAAAAAAGGAAAAAAAAACCTAAGAAAATTATCTAATAACATCTTTCAAATAAAACACCCAAACAGAACTCACAGAAGACTGATGCACCCAGAAGACCATGTATATCTACTATGATATACACACATTTACAGCCACAAATATCAATTTGTTGTAAAGTTCTTGGAAGTGCTTATTTCTACTTGGAATACTTTTAAAATTTGTGTGCTTGAGAAATATCCTAGGTGTCAGCCATGTGGACTCTTACTAAAGTCAGTGATACTTTTAAATGACTTCTGGAATTTTATCATTTTAGATGGAAACTACTTTTGGGCAGTTAGTAGCAATCATCTAAATATAATTAAAGTGAGAAGGGTTTCTAAGTTATGTTCCTTTTTATCAGTAACTCTTGTTAATTGAATAGTTTTTCAACAGTTCTTTTTCTGAAAAACATCTACTGAATCAAAAGAAGATAAGTCATATCAAAGACATTTCATCTTTTAAAAAGTAATACAAGTTAAAAAAAATTCATGTATTATTCAAATGCATAAAGTGAAAGTGAAATACCTTCTTTTAGTTTCTTCTCTGTAAGAAGCTTTGCAGTATTAGAAGAAACTTTGTATAAGAATTCACAAAGAAATGTGGAATGAGAAGAATCTTCAGAGAATCCACTTTCAAAGCAAGTTTCATAGTTTGGGAAATCTATTAAAAGACAAAGGAGTAAATAACAAACAGAACTTCAGTTATATCAGTTCTAACCATTTCTCTACAGGTCTTTCTAATTCAGGATCTGTAGATATGTAGTTGCTCTGTAATCTCTTTACTACAACACAGATACATCTTAATGATTTATTTTTATAATTAGAGTAAAATTCTTACATATTAATCAAAAAAAACCCTTCATTGGTTCACTTTGTAATGATACTGCCATTGCCTGCCACTGCTCGCCAATGTAATCTGAAATAAAGTTTGCTGGTGTACAAACCTTTCATTTTCATCCCTTATGTAACATACTTCAACAGAAGGGAATTATTTCTCTTGAGGGCTTATCTCGAGGTTTACCACCAACTCTGGCAGCAGACAATGATTCAGAAAATCACTGTCAACCTGCAATGACCTCCCTTTCTCTGAAGGGAAGGGCAAACACTGGCAATAGCACATAGTGACGCTGCCTTGGCTGGAAGACTAAAAGTAGAAAAGACAGAGTCAAGACAAACAAACTTCTCCCTATAGCCTTAGGAACACTTGAGAGCACAGCAAGCAAAATACTCCACAGCTGCATGTTTGTACAGGGAGTGAGCTCAACATCCTATGATCCAGTGCTTGGCACCTGAGACAGAGCAATGCTGGGGCAGAACTTAAGGTACCTTGTTTGCTGTTTGAGGCCTTAAATAAGTCCTGGATTTCACACTAAAAATTTTGGTGTTCAGGCTATGCAGTATTACTTTGCAGAGTGGCATGAGACAATGGAAAGTTGGTTCAGAATGTATGTCTGCAGTGCAGCATAGCTAATTTTTTCCAGTGTAAATCTGCATGTGAACTTTCATTCCCGGACTGCTTCAGATACCATATAGCCCTTCACAGAGGTAAGCTCAGACACATCCATTCCCTACAATTTACTTATTTTTAAGAATAGCTTTCTGTTTTCAAGAGTCTAATAACAGCCACACACTGCAACCAGAACTGTTGACTTCCAAGTTATCACACGCCCCAAGCTACAACATAAGTTGTGATCTGAAGAAAAAGATAGGTTGCTGGGATGGATCATATTACAGGTGCAAGAGGTGAGGTTATTTTGGGAGAAAAGTTTGTGAATAAAAGGGTAGGTCTGTGTGAAGTAGGGGTAGATAGCAATCTAAACTTTTGAAGAAAAAAAACAAAGCCCCAGATGAATACTTTAGATGTCTGTTAACAGTATATATCCATTTTTTTCTGGTAAAAGCCTGATAATATTGGTAGAGCAGATGTTTTTCTTCTGTGTTATAAATAAGGGTATGAGGTCTATGAGTCATCTCTAGCTTTCTTATTATTTTTTTAAGTCCTAAACTTGATGTCTGAACAAAATAAAAGTAACTTGTACACAATTACATACGCTGCCTGCTGAAATAAGAGTTAATGCCATCGCAACTCCCCTTCCGCTACACCACTGCTGTTCACCACAATGCCAATTTTTCTTCTGAATTAACCCCTTCCCTTTTGCTCAATATAAAATTAGAAGATCAAACCAAAGACTGTATCCTACCTGAGAACTTATTATGGTACAGGAATTCCATTTGCAGTCTTTGTCCAGCTTTCTTGGCTAATAAGTATGGTGTACTGTAAACAGGGTCTCCAGTGGCACACATAGCATCAGCCCCACTAAACAGCAACATCAGAGTGTCTAGCACATCTTGTTTAACTACAGCAGCACACAGGGCCTTATCATAGAGAGGAGAAATAAGAAGTCTGTTTAAATTAGAAAGTTATTGGCAACAAGTACGTGTAACATAGATGCAAATCCTTTCACCTCCAACATAGTTTCTGTGCATTTTCAAAAGACCATAAACATTGTGAAGTAGTAGGAATCATGAAGCATGGTCTGAATCTAGAAAAAAGCAGCAACAACAGAAAAAGAAAACCCAAAAGCATCACCAACCCAAACCTTGCAAGATGTTGCTGCCACAAGTTTCACTTGAGAAGGACAACATGAATTAACAGAACTGGAGGCTTCTTGTTTATTTAAATGAAAAAAAAAAACCCAAAAAAATCATTTTTCTTCACACACCCAACTACTAATGAAAAATATTATTTCAGACCTCAAAAGTTCAACCAAAGAGACAAGATTTGATTCTTAAACTCTTTTAGTAGGAAACAGACTGGAATTAATAAGTAGTTTGTCAAAACTATGGTCAGTCAGTAAAGCAACTATTCTTTAGTATATCTTCATACTTGATCATCTTCCTTGAGATTTATGGATCTCACCACATCCTAAAACATTAGTCCCCTTTCATTTTTGTATACACAAAGACAAATATAACAAACCTTTTCTTTTCTTCCACAAAATGTTGGTCCAAAAACCTTAAAACAGGAGTAGCTACATAATTACAGCAATCTATTCCATAACAATTTCTGTGATTTAATATGTATTTAAATTATTTAGTTAATGAGTACATTTTTATAAAATGATTCAGGCACAAGTCACTCAACACAAGAAGAGTATTACTCTCAAATTCAGCTGCTCTAATAAACATGTAAGCATCCAGGAGGCACGGGATGACAGGGCAGACAATTCAATAGACATTCTAGAATAACTAGCAGTGACTACCTTATTACACGGTGATTTCACGTCTCTACAGAGACATTTGACCATTACATCTGATATTTTTTCCCCAGTAGTTAAATGATTAATTGACACACTTTCTCCCTTGCCTCCCCCCCAAAAAAACTCCACAGACTTCAGAAAAATCAAGCCTATAAAAACAAAACCATTTTCTGTGGTCCGCAGTTACAATATTAAACAAAGTCTCTTGCACAGCTGCTACCAATAAATACAAAAAAATACAAATGTTTCATTTTGCAAAGCCAGAGCTCCCCATGAAGCCCAAAACTGTTTCTCAGTTCCAATGAATTGCAGAAACCTAAATTCAAGCTATACAGTGAGATGGTTCAGTACTTAGGCTAGAGGTGTTTAATGACCACTATTCTTACATGTCCTTATTTTAACTTACTATAACTAACATATAACTTATAAAATGTACAGATTCAACACAATAACCACTGAACAAATAAGACCTCTCTGGTTCAAACCACAATGACTTTTAAAAGTAACCACCTCCCCAAAATCTCTACATACCCTTTGAGACAATTTGACTCATATAATTGAATGCATTAGCATTGAATATATATGCATTTAAACTCTTCTATATTCATAAGCTCTAAACAATCATTACTCCGAAATCAATACTAGATACTAGAAGTCAGTCAAGCAGGCATCAAAAATCACACAGATTCATAAATAGCATTTTCCACTTTATAACTTTAAAGAAATTTTGGGTGTTTTTGGCTTTGGTTTCCCCTCCCGGCAAATAACACACCAAAACCACACATTTTTCATCATCAATTTTAGCTTGTTTCATTTGCAAATAGCTAAAAGTTACTATATAATTGTGCAAGAGCTACTCTGATCATTGATACCACTGAATCAACTAATGTACTGGTGTGGGTGGTTGACCCTGACTGGAGGCCAGGTGCCCACCAAAGCTGCTCTACCACTCCCCTCCTCAGGTGGGCAGGGAAGAAAAAAAATACAATGAAAGGCTCATGGGTTGAGATATGGGCAGGGTGGAGATCACCCAGCAACTAGTGTCATAGGCAAATGGACTCATCTTGGGAAAAAATTAATTTATTACCAATCAAATCAGAATAGAAGACATCTAAACCCAAATCTTAAAAGACTATCCCTCCCTTCTTCCCAGACTCAACTTCATTCCTGCGTTTCTCTCCCTCCTGAGTGGTGCAGTGGGATGAGGAATTGCGGCTGTGGTCAGTTCATCACACATTTCTGCTGCTCCTTCCTTCTCAGG